TTAATATATTATAAAAATGTGATAGTGATTATAAATATTAATGTGATTATATAAGGGTATTTTAGTTATAAAAAAAAATGAAATATAAAATTATGTGATTATATAGAGGTTGTGATTATAGAAGGGGTGACTATAGAGGGGATGACTGTATTAATATTAATTATATAATTAATACTATAAAAAAATTTTTTTTTATAAATATTAAATTTTAATTATAATTAATATCAGCACTCTCAGTATTTCTATTAGAGTTGGCTCCGAAACCCTTTGTGCTAAAATCCGAAAGTTTCTGGTTTCGGATTATAGCTTCTGAAACCTTATCCGAAACCCGAAACCTCATACGAAACCCCGAAACTGCAAAACATTAATTTTCATATAGTATTAAACTATGCAGACAAATAAAATTGCTTTTCATTATTTGACCGAGTAACTTTTTTAGAAAAGTTACAGCCAGTGTTTGAAATTCAATTTTTAAATTAGTTGCGGGCTGCAACTAATTAAAAAAAACGATTTGCGGATTATAAAAATTTATAAAATTTAGTTGCGCACATGATCATTTAATCGAAATTTATAGGTAAATTTTGCAAATTTATATGCGGAATTTGCATATGCACTTCGGATTTTAGTTGCAGGAATTTAAAATTTTATTGCGGTCCGCAGACTCCGCAACCCAATTTCAGACACTGGTTACAGCTATTTTCATAAATTTTGAGACAACAAAAAATTTCTAATACTGTAGTCAAAAACACCAATTTGGATTGAACATATCTAAAATCTAAAAAAATCATGGAAATTTTGGGGTTGTACACTAACCTTGAAACTTATCAAATTTAGTTATCAGAAATTTTTATTGTTCTAAAACTTATAAAAATAGCTATAAAATTCTTTTATATAGAATTTTTATATTTATAGCTATAGTCTACATGTAGCTATACTATCAAAATATAGTTTTTATAAAAAAATTATATAGCTATTTATATTAGGGTTAGAGTTAGATTAAAGTTAAATTAGGGTAAGTTGGGGTTTAGTTAGGTTAGGTTAGGGTTTGTTAAGGTTAGGTTAGGGTTTAGTTAGGGTTAGGTTAGGGTTTAGTTAAAGTTAGATTAGAGTTAGGTTAGGGTTAAGTTAGAGTTAGATTAGAGTTAGAATTTGGGGTTAGGTTAAAATTGTGAGAGAAACATTTTTACTTAATTAGATTATCTTAATAACTTTTGAGTTATTGAATATAGCTACAGAAAATGAAATGATTTTTTAAAAATTGTAATTGCTAGTATGATGAAAAATTATTTTAATTGGCTAATGTGGTACAAGTATAATGTCAATTGTTATACAATTATTTATATTAGCTTTAGAGTACCTATAAAAACATAATAACTCATATGACAAGTCAAAGTATATGTTCTCTATTAGGGAAGTGTTATTTATCACTTGATTTTTTTAAATAATAAACCTTACCCCCCCTACATAATAAATGAAATTCTGAAAGTATGCGTACATACATACACGATACTTTGGTAGTGACCCCCCTCCAAAAAAAATCAGGTAATAAATGACACTTCTCTTAGCAAATAACTTTTAGATATAGTCAGATTCCCAGATAACTTTTACTAATAGCACATTTTTGCTATTAGCTTAATAGTATATAGCTAAGTAGACTCAGAAAGTACTTTTTTTTTGGTTTTTTTAAAAGGCATTATATTATCTTAATAGCTAATCTTTTCTGTAATCAAGATGCCCTAGGTAAATACAAAAGAGATCTAATTAATATATAAAAAGTGGTTCTTGTAAGATATAAGACTATTAAGTATAAAAAAAGTATTTAATAATATTTTAAAGATTACTTTTGTAAATTTTTTTATCTTTTTTTTTTAAAGTGTTAATAGCCAATATAAGGTTAAAATTTCTAATTAAAATAATATAGTAGTTATACAAATAAAATAATTTTAATTTAAAAGAAGGTAGGAATTCTGGCAATATTAGTTGCACTTTGCAAAAATACTTTGTTAAATTGCAGTAATAATAACCTTGAATTAGAGTAAGGAAAAGTATTTAGCAAGAATACTATAATGACTTTTTAAATCTCAGTGATAATTTTTAGTTTAAAATTATTGTAGTTGGTATAAGAACTATCAAAAAGCAATTGAATAGTAATTGAAATTGCTAAGAGTTAGCTTTTGTAATTTTTTTTTTGTGTTCAATAACTAATACATATAGGTTTGAAATTTTTAATCAAGTAATATAGAGTTATAAGAAAAAATTAAATAATATTTAATTTGTAAAATAGTAATTTTAATAAAAAAATAGTTCTGTTAAATTTAAAAAAGTGTGTTTAATAGTAATTAATCTTTTTTAAGAATGATAATTTATTAAATAATAATTTTATTATCCCTTAAACGGTTTTGCAAGCAAATTTGCCTGCAATTTCCAAATTTGGATGAAGATCGTTCTGTATCTCTTTACAAAAATTAGCCAATCATTTTTTTTTTATGCAGATATCAATTAATGTTCTATTAACATATTTGATAAATTAATTATATTCTATATATATTCATAAAAGTGCGATACTAACTATCTAAAGAATTCTTAAATTTTTTCTTATATACCGGTACAAAAATTTAAAACCTTAATCTTTTGAGATTAAGATAATGTATAATATAGTAGCATCTGACAAATAAAATTCTTATATTATTAGCGTGATAAGGGTTAAATAATACGCCAACAAAACAATAACAACTATCTCATACATGCTAATATACTTGAAATATGCCGCTATGGAATTTAGCTTACCCAATGTGTTAGTTGATTATTGTTTTATATATAAAAACTGGGGTTCTTAGATTTCTTGCACTATATGATATTTTTATAATGAAAACTTCAAGTCTTGATGAACAGAACAATGATAATGTATATGTGGCAGAATTATCACATAGTATTTATGAAAATAATGAGGAAAACGAATTAGATGATAATGACAATTATGATATTCAAAATGCTCAAGAAATTCAAAATGAAAACACCAGAGGTTGTGGTCATGATCATGGCTGTGGCCATGGTCGTGATCATAATTAAAATTATAAAACTGAAGTCCAGCTTCCTTCTTCTCCTTATTTTAATGCATTTCAACATTCAAGACTGATGCATAGGTTTACGTTACACTTACCAACAAAATATAAATATTCTTTATATTGCCTTATTCAATTTTTAGTATTTTTTCTCATTTGAACAAATAAATACAATAGTTCAGAATACCAATAAATATGCTTGTTTAAAGGGTACTAGAGATGGGCGTAAATGGAAAGAATTAACTGTGAGAGAATTTAAAATTTGGCTAGCAATATCAATATATGCAGGTATTTTTAAACTACCTAGTATTAGAGATTATTGAAATACAGATGATAGATTTCCAGAGCATAAGATAACAACTTTTATGTCAGTGCTTCGTTTTGAACAAGTACATTCTTTAATAAATATTTTATTATTTCAAATTTATTACAATAAAGTATTTATTTTTATTATTTTTATTTTTTTTTATTTTTTTTTCTTTGATTTAAATTAAATGTTTTATGCATATTTCAGACTATGCCATTCTCTCTTTACATTGGCATTCTAAATTAGATCCATTAGCAAATCAATTTGTATTCCATCATCTAACGTTTTAATTGACAAAATGATTGCATGATTTTTAGATTGAAGTATGCATACAGTTAGAATTAAAAATAAGCCTACTCCCAAAGGCTATAAAATTCTTTCTCTTTGTGATGCAGGTTATACACATGCATTTATTTTTACTTCATGAATTCAAAGTTGTCCAGAAGTAAAACAAATTCCAAAATTAAACAAAGTTAGAAATGAGGTTTATCATCTTGTTTCCCAATTACCTTTAAATAAAATCTTTAATATATATATGAATAACTTTTTTAATCTATTAATCTTTATCAATATTTACATAATAATAATTTTAGTGTATGCGGAATAGTTCAAACAAATAGTGCAAAATTTTCAAAAATCCTTAAAGTAAATAAAAAACTAAATTGAGATATGTAGTCATTAGTAATGTTTTAGCTGTTTTATGGATGGACAATGGGCCAGTCATCATGCTAAGTACAATTTATAAAATAATTGGAAATGAAAACAGGATTGAAAGAATTCGATATTGACTTCAAGAAACCAGTACCAATGCGGCAAAAGTACAGGCAATTTTTGAAACTGCTAGTAAAAAAGCCTTACTGATTCCTTGTATAATTGATGACTATAACCATTATATGGGTGGAGTAGATATAGCCATCCAGCTTCGTGAATATTATGGTATTCAATTGCTAGTTAAAAGAACCTGGATGCCCTTGTTTTATTGGCTGTTAGACACTTCTATCATCAATTCCTATTTAATTTTTAAAAAAAGTGATAAAAATATTAGTTACAAAAACTTTTAAATTCAGTTATTATGGGATCTAATTAATGCAGGTATGGAAAAAAATAATACAAACAAAGCAAATACACGAAGTCAAGTTGAAGAGTTAGCTAAAAATATTGATGCTGATTTATCAAGAATACAGTATATAACAAATAACTCTGAACTTTCTCTAATAAAATTATCTTCGGAAGGGCATTTACCTAAATAGAAAAAAGAAAGAAATAGCTGTGTATAGTGCAGATATATGGCCAAAAAAAATAATGAAAAAGCTTCTAAAAATCTGCTGCAATATCAGATTTACTGTATAAAATGTAATGTACCCTTATGTTGTAGCAAGTGTAGAAGCAATTGCTTTAAAGACTACCATACACGTAAAGAAGAAAAAAATTAATACTGCACAAAAAAAATTCTTATCACAATCAGACCAATCAAAAATATAACCTCATAACTATAGGTTCCAAATAGATATAAAAATCGGCTAGTATCTGCAAATTACACAAACTTACACGGGTTATATTTCCAATTTACATTGGATTCAATAACTGCTCACTAACAATTTATGATTTTAAAAAAAAATAAATAAAACAACCAAACAAATAAATAAATAAAAATAAAATGAAAATAAATGAAAATAAAAAAAAAAAACATAAAAAAAAAATAATAAAAAATAAAAAAAAATTAAAAAAAAAATAATAAAAAAAAATTAAAAAACATTAAAAAAAGAATGCAAAATTCTAAAAAATTTTACTTTTTGATTCCTATATAAAATCAAATACCTATTTCTAAATTGTAAAATTGAACTATAAGAATTATATTTAGTTCAAATTTTACATTTTTTATTAAGGTTTCTTATAGTTATAGTCAGGGCACAATAAGAAAATTACAAATAAATATTAACATTTTAAAAAATTAGGTTTTTATTTAAAATTGCCGATTTGCAAAAATATATATATTAGGTTATTTTATGTAAAAGTGCGAAAATAAAGGTTTGGACTATCTGCATCATTGATCAGTTAGTCACAATAAAAATTTGAATGAATAAAATTTAAATCTTATAAAATTTTATATAGAATATTGTTAAATAAAAAATTGCAGGCAAATTTGCCTGAAATTGCTTACCGTTTAAGGGATAAATACAAAGTTTTTTTAAGCTTTAATGATCTTGTCATTAACTTTTATTATTATATTTAACTAAACAGTACATATATATTATATATATTTAACTATCTAACTAAATAGTTACTATGACCTCATTCGGCTACCTTATATGGCACCTAGATGCAACCATCTGCATCATTTCACATGTGAGATAGACTTCCTCAAGAACCTTTATCAAAAAGCACCCTAAATTCTGATTTAAATTAGAACTTTAATATTTTTACCAATTCATATATACCTGCTATATATACTACTATATAATGTTTACCAGTTATAATTCACCTCTCATTACTTATCACATTACTTCTAATTCATTTCTTGTATAACTTCCAAATTGGTGTTCTAGAGGTAGGTGCTCTTCTTGCTTCCAGTTTGGTGTCTTTCAAGATATTATTTCAGATTCTAATATGTATTTTAAGCCAGGTGCTGCCACTATCCAAAGACCCGTATCTCAAGCTACCTGCTACCACTATTAGGAAAGCTATTCGCATGGTTCTAGGTATTTATATCGTATACCACTTAATTAGACTATTGCCCCTTTTATAGTACTCCCTATCAGTATAGTGATACAAAAGTCTAGATCCTTAAAACAGGAGTTAAGTACCTTATTTAATTACTACCACAAAGCAGTAACCCGGGACCCATGCTTCTGCTGTATTTCATCATAGACTCCCATATAGATTGTGCAACTATTACTCACTAGCTGTCTTTATGTTTGTACCATTAGAGTGCTTGCTTTCATGCTTTTCAGAGTTTCTTTTAACTAGTTTTTCTTGTTTCTTTATTGTGCCAGAGATATTCTACAGGAGATATTATATTATTGTAGACACTTTTTAAAATTTTATACTAAGCTAAATAAATAAGATATAAAGCTAAAAATTATACAAATTATTATTTAAATCTAAAGCTTTCAAATAAAAAAAAATTATAAAATTCTA